CCAGCTCCCTTCCTGCCTGGCTGCTCTCCAGCCCCTCTGGCCCAGCCTGCAGCTGCAGGGGCTTCTTGTGGCCAAAAAGGAGGGTGTTCTGCCCTTTTGGCTGGTGCAAAGTCCCAGCAGCTGGAGTGTGAGGACCCTCCTGTTCCTCAGGCGGAGTTTTCAGGCAGGTCCTTCTCTCAGGCACCTCAGGTGCAAAAGGAGTTCAGTGAACTGCTTGTTTAGATCTGGCTACACTTATTTAAGTCATTTTATCGTTGTTTTCCTTTCCTGTACCTCGTGAAAACGAGTCCCTTGGAAAAGCAGATCAATTCTCCTTTTAAATGTCAGCAGTGTCTTTATTCACCGGTGAGGCAGCCAGGACCTTCTGGGTTGCTGCTGTTTATTTACTCTTTTATTCCCGGCCTTCAGCTTTTTCCCTTTTGTCATACTGTGTTTGTGTTCAACGTGACTTTTTTTTCCTTGCAGTTGTGACCCCTCCCGTTGTTTTCTTTAAACCTTTCTCTGTTGTTTGTTCACGTTTTCATATCTGTTGTCTGAACTCTGAATAAACTGCTTTTCCCAGGCAGAAAGGGTTTGGGTTTTTAGTCTGAACAACCCATTCTTTAGGAAGAAATTCCTCCCTCTGAGGGTGGGGAGGCCCTGGCACAGGTTGCCCAGAGAAGCTGTGGCTGCCCCAGCCCTGGAAGTGTCAGGTTGGAGCAACTTGGGATAGTGGGAGGTGTTGGGACTGGAGCTGGATGATCTTTAAGGTCCCTTCCACCCAAAACCATTCTGTGATTTCACAATTTTACGATTATTCCAGGTTTTTTTCCTCCCTGAAAAACCATCTAGTTGAGGATTTTCATTTTATCTGTGCTCGCTTCCAGACCTGGGGAGGTTTAGAGAAAACCTTTCAGGAGAATAAATAGATCTAACTGCAAACAGATTGAAAAAACTTTTTGACTTTTTGAAAGCAAGAATCTCGACAAATACCTTGTTAGCGCTTAGATTGTGGTTTGTTGTAAAAGGCTAAATTAAACCCTTCCAAATTGGATGTTATGCTAAGCAAATGTTTAGCTACATTTTCTTTTTGAGGCAATTAAGCCCTGCTCTAAACTGCCTGTGACCTTTAAACAAGCTGCCTAATGGTGCTGCTGCCACAGTTATTTGCTATAAACTGGCAATTTTTAGCTTATACAAAGCAGAGCTCTTTTTTCAGGCTCATTTCGTTGCTCCTTATTCCTCCAAAAGGTCTCTGCCTATTGGAGGTAATAATAAATAGATATAAGATAAGTAGATTTGGACATCAGAAATGACTGTTAGATTATCTAAGCCAAATTCTGTGGTAATCCAGGCCAATATCTGAATTATTATTTGCCTGAATTACAGTTGTTGTGTTTTTATGAGCAGCTTTCAATAGGAGAGCCAGATTTCTGAATTAAAGAAGGTGGTGGGGATTACCTGTAATTTCTTTGGGTGGTATTTGCTTATTTTAATCAGCTTTTTAAAGAAGAAAAACCAAGATATTTGTTTTGATTCACTTCCCAGGCTGTTTTCTCTTGCTGTAGCTCCCCTCTACACCCCAACCCCTGCCAAAATAATGTGGGGAGCCCCCTTACCTCTAATTATCCTTGTGTCCAGGTACTCCAACTTCAGAAAATAGATAAAAATCACTTTTTTTCCATTTAACTGGGCCGTGCGTGTGGAAGAAAGAGGCTTAAAGGACCCTCAGGTGCTTTTTCTGGACCCTTGGAACGACTTGTGGTTCTTCTGGACATCTAATTTTCAGGTTCTCTGGGAGAGGCTGCTTTTCCATTATCAGGGGCTAACTGAGGGGGGATAACTCTTCCCCTCTCTGTCCAATTCCATTTATTAGTCCTTTTGTGGGCAGGAACAGCCCCCAGTGGGGAATGGGAGTGTTAAAAACCAGGGAACTACGTGGGAAGGGTGGTTTGAGCTCGGAGAGAGGGGGGGGAAGGAAGGGGGAGAAGCTAATTAAATGTGGTACCATTGCATGTTTAGAGCATCTTTAAAATGTGATACCACTGAATGTTTAGAGAATCTTTAAAATGTGATGCCACTGCATGTTTTAGAGCATCTTTAATCCTCATTATCCACCACACAGCGAGGACGAGGAGCCAAAGGCAGGGGGGTGTTAATTGTACCCTCAGTTCTCTGTGTGTGTGGAGGGACAGGGAAAACAGGATTCAGTTCCCTCACTGACTTGGAGCCAAACTCCTCCAGAAGTGCCCAAACCAGAGGTGACCATCACCAGGTCCTGCCTGGACAGAGGGAGAAAATCCTTCTGGATGGGAGGGATGAAACCCCAGGAGATCAGGAGACACCGAGTGTCTCCAGATGTTCCGCCCCTGAGCCGATGGGGAAGTCAGACCTGCTTGGAAGCGGAATGAGAAACTTCCAGGGGTCCCTTCCAAGCTGGGGCAGCCTAGTGACTGTGTGTGGGGGGTGACAGTGCCTTTGGAATTGGGAAATTTTGGGCACATCCCTACCTGCTGCCAAAGGAAAAAGAGGAAAACTGGAGCTTCCACTTCTGCTGGAGGTTTCTGAGCTGGGTCTGCTGAGCTGCTCCATCCGGGTGTGCTCTGGGATTTGGGTGGCCTCTCCTTTTGGGAGAGGGAAATTGGGGTTTTTGCTTCATCTGTGGTGTGGGTGGGTTCCTGATGTGTCCTGGCCCAGCTTCCCTGGCTGTTCCCAGATGGATACTGGGAAGGAAGAGGGTGGACGATGCTTTGTGTCCAGTGATGGGAACCCCAGAAGTGCTGGTTGGTGTGGTGGGGAGAAGCCTGATGAATTAATTAACACTGGGACATTAATTCCTGCTCCAGACTGAGCTCCATCCTACAGGCTGTGCTCTTTCCTCATCCATGCAGAGAAGGGAATTCACAGGGAGGGATTTTCTGACAAAAATTTTTCAGGAGTGAGGAAAAAGTGCAGCTTCCTCTTAGCAGCCTCTCCTAATTTAAAGAGCCTGGCTGTCCCAAGGCTATTCCAGGGTTATTCCTGACCTGCAGGCAAGCAGTGGAATTCACTGGTGATAGATGTTCTTGGAGCAGAGATAATATTTACTGGTACTGAGGGACCAGCCCCTGGCTGGGCTCTGCTCACTGTTATCTCCTGCCTTTTAATTTTTAATGTTTAACTGACAGGTTTGTTATGAACCTAAATCCTCCAGTGCAAGCAAACCTCTTGTTTCACCACCAGCATCTTCCCTTAGTAGGGAAGGGGTTTTTAAACTTTATTTTCAACCTCTGCACGCCCAAACCTCTTGTTTCACCACCAGCATCTTCCCTTAGTAGGGAACGGGTTTTTAAACTTTATTTTCAACCTCTGCATGCCCAAACCTCTTGTTTCACCACCAGCATCTTCCCTTAGTAGGGAAGGGGTTTTTAAACTTTATTTTCAACCTCTGCATGCCCAAACCTCTTGTTTCACCACCAGCATCTTCCCTTAGTAGGGAAGGGGCTTTTAAACTTTATTTTCAACCTCAGCATGCCCAACATGCTGTTCCTGGTTTCTTACAACATCACCACTGAGGGTTTTGGAAGCTGCAGAGGGAGGCTTCGCTTTTATTTATTTATTAGCAGCTGTGGAAGTGAAATAGAAAACCAGGAGGGATGTGAAGTTGTTGCTTTTATACACTGATTTATCAGTCCTGGTGGAATATTTGGGTTCTGTCCATGTTTGTTTTTAGGATATCAATGAAAATTAGGTTCCTTGCTCTGCTGCCCACAGGATGTCAGCTGGTCACTGCTTAAGATATTCAACTGTAGTTATATCCAGAACACCTGTGCAGCCTGAAAGATTTGGGTTCCTAAATTTTTCCAGCTGCCTCATGATATCACTTCAGGAAAATAAAATTTAAGCTGTTTTTCTCCCCGTTTATAGAGTAGGGAATAATGATTTGTTGACACTGCTGTAATGAAAAGAGTAACAGCAATCCAACATCAGTGCCAGTATCTTGTTTTGACAGTTTTCTACTTGATAATCCTCCTGTTTTGGGATAAATTGTGCCTTGATATTTATTATAATGTTTTTATTTTGAATAATATAATATTTTTATTATAATATCATTTTATCATATAATAATATGCATATATTATGTATAAATATATAAAGATATAAATACACATTTATATAATTTATTGAAATATATATTTATATATTTATATACCTCTTTTTTATAAATATCTTTATATATGATAATGTTGTAAATATATCAATATATATTTATATATATATATATAAATATATAGAATACAATAATATGTAAATAAAAATAATATTAATAGTATAATAATACTAATGATATGTAATTAAATATAGAATTCTAATATTATAATTATATATTATATATCCTATACATGATATAGCTAATATAATACAATAAATATATAATATAATATTTGTATAATATTATTATAATATTAACAATACTAACATAACAATATAATAGAATAATGAATTATACAAAGAATATATAAAATATGTAAAATATATTTATAAAAAATATGAAATTTATTATATTTTTATTATAATATATTTTATATATATATTACTATATAATAACTATGTTATATTGTATATTATATAGTATAATTTTTGTAATTTATTTAAATTATAATTTATTATAATTATTATAAGATTATAATTATAAATAAATATTATCGTAATATTATAAATAAAATATTATAATAAAAAATATTATAATTTATTATATTAATTATACCAGTTAATTATTATATTAATGAACTGTGTTCTCACTAACTCGTTTTACTCACGTGCTCCAAATATTTGAAGACTGCACCTTAGATGTGAGTTTTTTGGGAATTGGACCCTTCCACATGTTGAACTTCGTTTAGGAACAGAACTAAAGAACTATTACTTCAAGGTTTTCTGCTTTACAAAGGTTTTAGGGATAGAATCATCCTGGTATTCAGACACCCCACTGCCCAAAGTGCTGAGGGATGAATGATATTTAAAGGAGATTTAAGACAGGACTGATGTTTCAAAGCTGTCCCGTGTTTTCCCGGCAGGTGTCGGCCGTGGATTCCTTGGAAGGTCCCCTCCTGCAGGTGGAAGGGCTGAGTGACCTGAGGCTGGAGCTGCACAGCAAGAAGATGAACCTGCACCTGGTGCTGATCGACGAGCTGCACCGGCACCTCTACATCAAATCCACCAACCGCGTGGGCCAGCGCGGCAAGGACAGGGGCAGGATCGGGTGCGTCCGGGCTCGGGGGGGACAGGACAACAGTCCTCCTGCTCTGGGGAAAGTGAGGCACTTGGGCACTGCCTGCCGTTGGTTTTCAACTCTGGGTAGTAAAAAAACCCAAATCTGAAGTTCTGGAGCTGATGGGAATCTCCTGTCACACCTCCTGGATGGGGAATAGAGCGGGAGGTGCCCCTCCTGACGAATGGAAGTCCTGTCCTTTCAGTACCTTTGGTGTCATAGAATCACAGAATCCCAGAATCAGCTGGGTTGGAAGGGACCTCTGAGATCATCCAGCCCAACCCTTGATCCAACCCCGCCGTGGTTCCCAGCCCATGGCACTGATGCCACATCCAGTCTGTCCTTAAACACCTCCAGGGATGGAGAATCCCCCACTTCCCTGCGCAGCCCATTCCAATGGCTGAGCACCCTCTCTGCAAAGAAATTCTTTCTAATATCCAACCTGCCCCTGCCCTGGCACAACTTGAGACCGAGCCCTCTTGTCTTGCTTCCAACCCAAACCAGTGTGTGATGAGGATTTAAATGAAGGTTCTGGGGTACAAACAAGGCTGGTTGTCAGGTGGGTTTGGGGGCAGTAGATCTGGGAGGGAAGGGGACAACATTCCCCCTGTCCTAAGTAGGAACTTTGCAGAGTGCCATCAACTTACACCCCATCCTTTCATTTTTGCCATGCAAATTCCTCATTTTTCTGGCTGTGGAGAGCAGGAAAACTCAAACATGTCGATGGACCTTCAGTCCTTTTCTCGTTCCTTCACTTTGCTTGCTGGTTCTCTTGGGTTTTTACTGCTTCCCAAAGAGTTCTGCTGAGCCCAAATCCCACTCTTTTCCTTCCCTGGTATTTCCACCTTTCCTACAAATGTCATGATGGTGAGGCTCAGGTCAGGCAAAAGGAAGAAGGTGGGGGGAAAATGGCTCATTTTCTAGCAAACATCCAAATTTTAAAAGATGTAACCATAAAGTTTCTAAACAGATTTCTAAAGGTTAATAGATGGAGGCCACAATATTGAAGCCAGAGCTGATTTCTCTTGGCTTTGTTGTGTTTCCAAGGTGTTTTAAAGGTGTTGAAACTTCTTTACCTGGTTTGGTACCTCTGGGAATTCACCTGAAGTATAGGGCACCTGGCTATTTATTCCTAATTTTGCTGATTCTGTGTTTGAGGGCAAGAGTTGTTGAAGGGAAGGAAGGAAGGCGGTGCCTAGAAAAGAGAAACACAGTGTTTGGAATAAACAGGGGCAAGGAGCAAAAGGGGAACCAGCAAATGATAAAGATGCAGAGAAAAGATAAATTAACATTTTATGAGGAGAAGGGACTAAAAATCTGCCTCCCCAAAAAGAACAGGTGAGACAGGAAGTTGCATGAAATGAATTTATGAAATAAAGGACTGATTAAAATTGAAATTTCCTTGGAAGGAACGTTGCTGGCAAGTCAGCAGCCCCTTTTTTACTCATCTTATTAATTAAAAACAGACACAAAGCTTTGGTGTACCCAGTCTGGGGCACTGCTAATTAACTGCAGTTTGGTGTGGCTGCTGCAGGGACCTTTCTATTATTCTGGTTTGTCTTTTTTTTTCACATTCCCTGTTGCACATCCTGGATATTTGATGACTTGAACTCTCCCAGCTTTTTTCTTTGGTTAATGTGCTGTCCTGGACTGGCTGGTTGACCAGGGTGCAAAAATGTTTATTTCTTGTATTGATTTTAAGTGGGTTTTATCCAACTTTGGAACACACAGTTAATCCCTGAAAGCATGATTTTGTAGGTGTATAAGGAATACAGGTGGTTCTTATGCAGGATACCCTTATTTTTGCAGGTCTCCATAAGCATTTTGACCTCTGAGCAAACATCCTGAACTCTATTATAGGAGCCCTCTGCATTTTTTTTCCTCCTAAAAATGATTTCTTGTGTCCTCCTGCCACGTCCAGCTGTCACTGTGCAGTGTGACACATTTCTGGCTGCTAATACAATGTGAATTTATGAGGAAAATGGCCAAGCAGAAAGTCTTTAACTCCTGAGTAAGAATGTCCATTTGGGATGAGAGGCACCTGGGTGGGCACAGAACAGGAAGGAGAGGAAAAAGTTTGGAGGTTTCTGGTGGAAACAGAAGAGTTTGAAGGATTAGAAGTCGATGGAAGCCATGGGAAGAGGAGCATCTAAAATTTAAGGAATAAATGGGTTATTTGTTGCGAGCAAAGATTGTAAATAACAGCAAACTATTTGCTTTAATTGTTTCCCCTCCCACAGCTCCCTGGTGAAAGATGCCTCTCCTGTGCCTCTGATGGATGTCACTAATTTATCCACACCTCGGAAGTTCCTGGAAACCTCCCAGTTCAGCACTCCTGGAAGCTCCAGCAGTGAGTATTTAAGTCATGCACATCCCTCACAGAAGGAATTTGTAGCTCTTCAGCTGATTTTACAGGAGTAGCAGGAGGAACATCATCCCCTCTCCACCTCTGGCTGCTGAGGGGAGGCCCTGAGACTAAAATTTAGGAAGGGATTTATGCAGTGCCATGAGGGAGTGGCATGTCCTGGGGCAGAACTGACCCTATCTGCTTTTTAATTTTGGAAAATCATCTTTCCCCCCTGCTGTCCCCATCAGCTTCAGTTAAATACACTTAATTTTCTGTGCCTGTCTTCACCTTGATCATGAGTTTGGCTCAGTTTATGTGGGGGTCTCCCCTCCATTACTTCCCGGAGGTTTGTGTGGGTATTACTGAAGTTTTTTTTTGCAGTGTTGGAGCCAAAAAGGTCAAATCTTTCCCTTGTGGGAGCTTTGGCTCAAGGTGTGTCTGTACACAGGAATAATCCCATGATGATCTTTGTGCTGCTACAACAAACACTGAGCAAAAACATTGTTTTATTGGTGCTTTCGTGGGAGGCTTTGCAAGGGCTGCAGAGGTGGGGAATTAATCCTTGTATTGTTTCAGAAGATTAATAAGTGGGGTTGTCCTTGATGAATAATACAGAGTTGACCTGAGTCTTTTCCCCCCTTCCTTTCAAAACCTGACTGTTTCAGTATTCCTCAAATGCAGAGAGTGTTCCCTTCTCATCCTTATTAATTCTTTTGTCCTTTTGCTTCTGGGTTTGTCACACTCCCCTCCTAGATCCTTCTCTTTGATTATTCTTATCTTTTGCTCTTGTAGGGGTTTTGTTGTTTAGCTCTGCTCCTGCAGGGCTGCTCTCAGAGCCTGGGGCTGTTTTTCCCTGGAGTGGAAGGTTTGTGAGGAGTCACTTGTGAACCTTTCAGGGCTGGAAACTGCATCAAAAAACCTGGAAGAGAGGAACTGTATGAAAATTCTGAGGGAAAAATTTAAGAATTCCTGTTCTGCTCTGTGTTCAGTGAGAAATTCAGTTCAGTTTCTTGCTAAAAATCACATGGTTTTGGGGAACTGAGGAAACAAACCACAAAAATCTGAATCCCAGTCTGACCACTGTGAACAGAATGGGTTGGGTTGGAAGGGCCCTTAAAGATCATCTGGTTCCAACCCCTGTAAAAGTTAAAACAGTTCCTTTTTAGTGAGGGAGTTCTGCAGTGCCTGCCACTGTTTTTTACCTAAAATATCAGTCCTCTGTACAGTAGGAAAACCAAAAAGTCTGAGGTTCTGGAGCTGATGGGAATCTCATGGATGGGGAATAGAGCAGAAGATGAAACTTCTGATGAATGGAAATATCTTTGGTGTCTTCCTGATTTGTTTTTTTTTTTTGATTGCCAGTGTAACACAAACCTTAAATATGCTCTGAAAACAATTCTGTTGACACTTGTCACCTTTAAAGACTCACAGTTCCCAGTCAATCCCTGTCACATCTCTGGAGATTTGGCTGCCCCATCCCTGGAAGTGTCCAAAGCCAGGTTGGACAGGGCTTGGAGCAACCTGGGATAGTGGAAAGTGTTGGGGTTGGAACAAGATGGTCTTGAAGGTCCCTTCCAACCCAAACCATTCTGTGATGGTGATTTAAGTGAAGGTTCTTGGGTACAAACAGCAGTGGCTGCTTGTGAACATAAACCAGCTGAATACCTGCAAACAAAGGCTCTGGTGGCTTCATCCTCAGCTCCAGAAATTGATTTAGGCTGGTTAAAAAATCTGCCTTAAATTCTTGTTTTTTGCAGATCTCTTCTTGCTCTTCACACTCAGCACACCAGAAAATCTCTTCCTTGGCTCCTCATTCTGTTCTGTGTCACTCAGTGAAGTGCTGGGCAAGTGTCCCTCAGACTGGGAAAGCTGCAGATCATAATAGAAAACATTTGATCAGCATAAAGTATGCATATGGTTTTGCTTCAAGTGCACAATGTACTTATGGAGATTTTTTCCCTGTAATTTTATTTAAAAGTAGCCTTTTCCAGGACTGCACAACTAGCAGAGAATTTAAAACTTATGTGTATGCATAACAAAAGCTGTTCCTGCCTTTAGTCACTTAAGTTCTTTTTGGCTTTTTTATTGATGAAACAAAGTGGCCTTGCATATTAATGGGTGACATTATAAAGCACTGACTCACTCGACTTGTCTCAGCAAAGATGCCAAAATTTGGAGTCCTTCCTGCCTTCCCTTCCCAAAGGAGGTGTTGCCTTGTGCTGTAGAATCTTTATAAGGGAATTAAAGCTGTTCCTGCTGCATGTAAAATAAACAAAGCCCTCAGTAATGCTCACCTGAGGATTGCAGATATGGCACTTCACCAGTAACATTTTCCCTTCATGCCAGTTCAGAGAAATAAATCCACTTTTAAATGATATTTCTCTGCTTGAACCTTCTGTACTCTGAAGAGTATTTGTGGAGGTTCCTGCTTTGCCAGGCTCTTCCTGGAACTATAGAACGTGCTCACCTGGTTCACAGCAAGCCCAAGAGTGCCCTTTCCTGAGAAATTTGGGAGAATTCTGCTCAGGAATCCCACAGAAGATGGGCTGTGATGGTGAAAATTAATATTGTTATTGATGGCATAGGTAAATTTGAGGCTGAATTGATAATTTGCTTCAGTGACCTTTTTTTCCTCAGTGATAGGAGAGAAATGGAACTTCTAAATCCAGGCAGTGTGGTGGTCCTAAGGTCAGATCTAGTTACTGCTCCTACCTCTCTTTCTTCAAAAACCAGCTATTTTTGTGGAGGTGAAAACTTGTGGAGACCTGGGAACTTGCTCCTGGAAAATCTCTGCAGGAGCCAGAGCTTTAAATATCTAGTTTTAAAGGTGACTCCAAAAATGCCATTGTGCCACATTGTCTCAGTTGTTTCCACTTCAAACATGCTCAATAAATACTTAAAAGATATTTTTTTTCTCATAGACCTCTCCTGAGGATCTGGGTGGTTTTTCTCTAGCATTTTTCCTAGAATGTAAATGATCTGGGGGTGTGTTTGGGGAAAGAAAGGGAAAATCAGGGAGATTTTAGAGCCATGAAAGCCAGAAGAGTTAACACATAGTTATTCTCCCTGTATAATTTCATTATTAGTTCCTGTGTGTGGTCCCATCATCAGATATTTGACCACAGGGCACTTATTTTTTTATTTAGAGACTTGGTTTTCATGCTTGTTTAGGTTAGGAGGATTTTAAACTTGGCTTTTCTTCTGGACTACACAGAGCAGAAAATGCCCCAAATCTTTTAAAGTTCCCATTTCTGCAGTAACTGTCCATTTGTTGCTCCTTGGCTCCAGGAATGTGTTGGAACAAGGATTCAACACCAGGAATAATGAGCAGGTGACGTTCCTTCAAGTATGAAATGATGGCTTTGGGGCACCAGGAACTCATGTGCTTTCCTCTGGAAGGTTTGGAGGCAGAAAGGGCATAATCAGGAGGACATAAATCATGGAAAATAGCACATTAAATTTTACTGGAGTCCCATAAAATCCCCCGGCTAATGAAACTTTCAGTAACGAGCAGCAGCAAAACTAAACCCAAGAGCCTTTTCTTCAGCTGCTCTGCTTAAATGAGGTACCAACATTGACTTTTTGGGGGAATCAGACCAGCACTTGCAGCAGGTTGGGTTCCTGGGAAGCAGCAGAACTGGACAAATGAAGGAATTCCCAATTGGCAAAGAAGGTTTATAGGGCATCATCAAAGCAGGGATCTGTTCAGGGAACCTTCCACCTTTGAAACCATGGAAGGGAAGGAAACAGTGATGCACATGGTTCAACTTTTAGTGACAACTTTTGACTGCTTAAACACAGGGTTGTGCATTTTCAGGTGAAAAAATGATTCAATGATTTAATTTTTTTTTGAAAATGGCCACCAGAGAATGAGGCAAAATAATCATTCTTTTAAGTTGTTGTCTCAGGAGGCTTTTGAGAAGCCATATTTACGTTTTCTGCTTCACAAGAGGTTTTCAGAGGTTGTTAGGACAGGAAGATCAGCCAATTCCCCTTGGATTATGGGGGTTCATTCTGCTCTTCATCCCTGTTTTCCAGCTCAGGGCACTGGGTACCCCCAGAAACTGGTCTTGCTGTTAAAGGCTGAGGCAAAAGAAGGCATTTGGTACCTCAGGCTCTCCCTGAACTTCTCTCACTATTTCCCCCACATCCAACAGAGGATGGAGATTCTCCTTGGCCCTCCTTTTGTTGCTGATGTATTTATAGAAACATTTTTATTGCCTTTTACAGCCAGATTAAATCCTGACTGGGCTTTGGCCCTTCTTTTCTCCCTTCACAACCTCACAGCATCCTTGTGTTCCTCCTGAGTTGCCCGTCCTTTCTTCCAAAGGTCAGAAACTCCTTTTTTCCTTGAGTTCCAGCCACAGCTCTTGGTTTTTATCCTTTAGGATTTCCTCCTTGGTGAATGTCCAGCTTTCCTGGACCCCTTTGCCCCTCAGGACAGGCTCCCAAGGGTCTCTCACCTCAACAGGCCCTGTGACAGTCCAAGGTCCCTGTTCTGCTGACCCCCCTCCTTCCTTTTGGAATTTGAAGATGGGAATAAGTTCTGCCAGCCTCCTGCTTTTGTCTTCATCCAAATGAATAACAAAGTAATTCATGTTTCCAGTTTAAGAGTAAATACAGGCAAAGCTTTCACTTCTGAGGGCTGATCTGTTGGGGCTGATCTTCCTTCACCTCTGCCCATGTGGGGATGCAATTTTCCAGGTGAGCTCCTTAATAAATGCCTGTGTCCTTTGATGCCTTTCTGGGAGAGGAAGGGGACAGGAGGGGCTCATTCCTGAGCCAGAGCTTTGTGGTCAGGCAGCCCCTTGGTGACATTAAATGGCAGCAGAGGACGTTTGAAGCGCAGAAGACACGAGAAAAGAGCCTCTTCGGTTACCCGGGGTTGGCGTCTTGTCAGATCTCACAGATGAATGAGGCCCCAAATCCACCCAGGATTCCTGTTTAATAAGCACAACGGGCAGGAAACACACTTGAAAACAGGTTTTATCAAGCAACCAGATCTAACAAAACTTCCCCTGCCACGTGCTGCTCCCAGATATCGAGCTTTTCACTTCGCTGTCGTCTGTCAGAGATGCAAATCCACGTCCTGACCATTTGGGGGGGTGTTGGAAATCGGTTTGCTCTTTTGGAAATGCAAGAGCCTTCCTCTTAGCGTGTGCTTGGCAGAGTTCTCAGCAAGATTGCTGCTTTTACTCCTCTTAAATGCTGTCCTCCCATTTGGATACGGCTCCATTTCCTCCCTTTTGGGTTTTCGTTGTGTGATATTAAGAATAATTCACAGCCCTCTTACAAAGGAGCTGCAGAGCCGTGGTGGGGGGCTCTGAGAAGCTGCTCAAGCTGAGAAATATCCTCACTGAACTCAGAGAAACAAGATATTTTGGGTTTTTAAAAGAAAACAACAGGTTAAGCCTTTCTTCCTGTGCTCTTTTCACAGCTCTCATTGCAAGGAGCTCATTTTCCATGTTTGTGCCTGACGTGCTGTGGGTTTTGGGGGAATAACAAATGGCATTAAGAGGGTGGGTAGAGACAATGTCTGCAGCACTCAAAGTGCTTTGCAGCCTCGTGGGGTGAAAGGTCTGTGATGGAGGAGAGCTTTGAGCAGGAATATGTTTGCATCCAGTTATTAACTTCCAATTGGTGTTATTGGTGATACCTGTTTGAGGTGTCTCTATATTATCCTTGGGTTTTTTGCTGCTTTTTTAGGAAAACAAATTAATGCACTCTCTGTGTTTCTAGTTGTTTGTCTCGTAGCTTGTTCAAATTTAATTGAAAAGAGTGTGTGTGAGAGAGAAAAAGAAGCACTCTTTGATCTTCCTGATGTCTCATAATCACAAAACAGTTTTGAGTTGGAAGGGTCTTTTTAAAGGCCATCCAGTCCAACACCCCCTGCCATGGGCAGGGACACCTTCCACCATCCCAGGTTGCTCCAAGCCCCATCCAGCCTGGCCTTGGACACTTCCAGGGATCCAGGGGCAGCCACAGATGCTCTGGACAACCTGGGCCAGGGCCTCCTCACCCTCCCAGCCAGGAATTCCTTCCCAATATCCCATCTAGTCCTGCCCTCTGGCAGTGGGAAGCCATTCCCTGTGTCCTGTCCCTCTGTCCCTTGTCCCAAATCCCTCTCCAGCTCTCCTGGAGCCCCTTCAGGCCCTGCAAGGGGCTCTCAGGTCTCCCTGGAGCCTTCTCTTCTCCAGGGGAACATTCCCAGCTCTCCCAGCCTGGCTCCAGAGCAGAGGGGCTCCAGCCCTGGCAGCAGCTCCGGGACCTCCTCTGGACTCTGTCCAGCAGCTCCACATCCTCCTGCTGTTGTTCCCAGGGCTGGAGGCAGCTCTGCAGGGGGGTCTCCCCTGAGGGGGCAGAGGGGCAGAATCCCCCCCTACCCTGCTGCCCCTGCTGTGGGATCAGCCCAGCTTGGCTTTGTGGGCTCAGTCCTGCCCTGCTGGCTCCTGCCCAGCCTCCCATCCTCCATCTCCTCACCCAAACCCTGCTCTCATTCCCTGTCCCATGTGGTGCCCTCCCAGGATCCATTCCCACCTTGCTCTTCCCTGGCAGCATTTCTGGGTTGGGATGAGGAGTGTGGGAACAGTGGGTTTGGTTTGAGCCAGAGGGGCCGTGGTTGGGATCGCTCTGCTGCAAAGAACCAACTCTCTGCATTGTTGGAGCCTGAAATTGGTGTGAGCTGGCACTGAGAGGAGTGTTATCTGTTTATTGTGATTGTATTTATGAAGTGGCACCATATGGGCTCTCTGGGACATTGTTTTCTTGGTCTTGCTCTAACTCAGAGCTGCTGCTGCTCCTGCGTTCCGAGTCGCGGCTTCAGACAGCTCCTGCTCCTCGTGACGTGCCATTTCTCATCCCTGCCACGTTCCTTCAATCCTCCTGCTGGATCTTTTGACATTTATTCAGCTTCTTGGAGGAGTTTTTGAGTAAAAAAATCTGTTGAGGAGTTGGAACCATGGGAGTCATCTGTCACCCACCAGCCCTTCCCAAAGGAAGATGGAACAGCTGTCGGGGGGGTTCATTTTTATCCAAGGATCTGGTGGCTGTGGATCTTCCAAGATGCTTGGAGTGGAGTTTGCCTTGAAGACACACTTAACTTCCCATAAGTGTTTAAATATATTTATTAAATGTTTCACCCAGCCTTTAACAGAGCCACGCTTTTGTTGTTGCTGGGTGTTATCTGTAAATTAAGAAATGTTGCTTAATGAACACACTTAAAACAAGCAGAGTGTCTCTTGCTTTCCCATCCCTTGTCTCTTAGCAACAGGATTTCTCCCTGTGCAGTCCCTGTTACTTCAGGGCCATATCCACGATACCCTCCCTAATTCTTCCTGGTTTTTTCCTTTTTAGAGGCCCTGCTAAAAGATTTGAGTAACTTCATCAACCTCTTGGCAGAAGTGATAAAGCAGAATGAGATAAAATCAAACAATGAGTCGCTCTGGCAGCATAAACTTTGCTGAATAAATCAGAAGTCCCTTAATCTCGATACTGTTTGTAATGAAAATTCCTCTCCTGTGAAGGATATAACAAGTTAAAACAGCTGGGGCAGAAATTTAGGGCATTTTAGCTGCTTGAAACACACTGAAGGGATTTGTAGGGGTGTTGTGCCTTCTCATTTATGAATATCTTAATTGCACCAGGATTCCTCTGTTTTCTAATACATAACTTGTGTCATCCTGTGTTTCTAACTCAATCAGACGTGCAGGTTAGTGTATTTATGTATAAAAAAGCTCCCAAGCAAACAGAAGTAACCACTGCTCCCCCCAGAATCCAAGTGCTTCCTTGTTTATTCCTTGGTTGCTCCAAGTGGTGGAAGTTCTGTGAAGGCAAAGGAGTTCAAATGCTGCTTCTGGATGGTCTCAGGTGTCGGGTTTAACAGTTTTAAATCTTGGATTATGCCTTTTAAAATCTCTTTTCAGTGCGAGACTCGAGCCTGCTGGAAATCAAGGAAGACACGGAACTGGATCCAGAGGAGAACAGCAGTGTCTTCATGGGAATTCTCATCAAAGGGCTGGCCAAGCTGAAAAAAATCCCAGAGACAGTGAAAGCCATCCAGGATCGCTTGGAGCAGGAGCTCAAGCAGATTGTGAAGAGATCCACGACTCAGGTGGCTGACAATGGTTACCAGAGAGGGGAGAATATTTCCCAGGAAAACCAGCCCAGGTAAGGATATTCCAGCCCCTTGGATTGCTGGGAAAAAAAAAAAAGTCCTAATTGATGATATGAACTCAGTTATTTGGAGTGTGGCAGAGCCCAGTTGAGCTGAGGCAGGTGCAGAGCTTTGAAATCGTGTAGGGAATTAATTATGTCACAAAATTATATCACCAGAAAAAAGATTATATCACAAAACCCAAGTCTCTTAAATGGTTGTGCAGCCCCATTTCTGTTGGTGGCAAGGTGTGGGAGCCAGCTGAGAACTGTGCTTGTGCTGCTCCTCAGGATCCACTAGAAGTGTTCTTGGGAAAAACGGGATTCCGGAAGGGCACGTTGTCAGGATCGTCGTCTGAAGGGAATTGTTGTGGGGAAGGAAAACGTTGCATCTTCATTGTAGGTGATATTTGCAGTGCAGAATCACTCCCAAGGATGACATTAGCTTGATAAAGACTTCTTTTTTTAATTCCTCTCGTTAGCATTGCTGTGCAAACAATGGTGTTGTGAAGAATTTGTAGAGTTACAGTGCTGAGAACTCAGGAAAATTAAAACAAGGCTTTTTTTGTGTGGATCACAAAGCACAATTTTAGTTTCTGATGCCAGAAGGGAGCGTAATATCTGCTTGATACTTATTTATGAATCAGGCTGGAAAGGTTGGTTGTCCATTGAAATGGATAAATTGGATCAGATCATATATTAATGACATTAACCTGCCCAGAGGGCTGAGTGAGGCACAAAAAAGTTTGATGGGTTTTGGCACGTGCAGGGGAGTGTGAGCCTTTAAGATGCTCATATTCCACAGCTTGGGAAAGTGTCTTGAATTCTTGCTGAACACAGAGATAATTAGAACTGATTGTAAACCTAAATCACATGTGAAGTTTACAGCAAGCAGGTGAATTCGTTTACATTGAAAAGAATAAATTAGAGCAGGGAAGGGTCTTCCCTCCCCTCAAATTAACTCCAGTTTTAAATCAAAACTCAGCCACTTTCCTCCTGTCAAGGAGAAAATAAATCTGAACAACGAGGTCCTGCTGTTTCAATAGAGCTCTGTAAGACCCCAGATCTGAGCATGATGCAGTGCCCAAAACTGCTTTGAACTATTCATTAGGCTGTCAGTGCTCCTGTGACCTCAGGAATTTGGGGAGGGAAATGTTTTTTTTTTCAGTTTTCCCTTAAAACTGCTCCCACTTGGCTGCTTTGAGTCTCTCACTGAGCTCAGTGCCTGCGTTCAGCTGCTCTGCTTCCAGTGGTGTCCATAAAAATTCCCACTCCTGGCAAATAAAATGACTACTAAGGTGACAGAGGGGCCTGTGGGATCTCGAGCCTTGTGCTGGACAAGTTCCCTGTGGCTCATTCCCAGTGTTGCTCCAAAGTTGACTCTTATTTTTCCCATGGGAAGAGGGGTGATTGTTTCCCTCTACTCAAGGGAACACATCCACATCCCCATCCCTGCAAGTGTCCAAGGGCAGGTTGGACAGGGCTTGGAGCAACCTGAGATAGTGGAAGGTGTCCCTGCTCATGGCAGGGGGTGGCACTGAATGGCCTTTGAAATCCCTTCCCACCAAAAGCCCTCAGGAAGAGCAGCTTGAGATTCCCTGGGATTTGAAGTGATTTGAAAGTTGGAGCCTGGAGGGCTGGAGGGACAGGACACAGGGAATGGCTTCCCGCTGCCAGAGGGCAGGGCTAGATGGGATATTGGGAAGGAATTCCTGACTGGGAGGGTGGGGAGGGGCTGGCCCAGGTTGCCCAGAGGAGCTGTGGCTGCCCCTGGATCCCTGGAAGTGTCCAAGGCCAGGTTGGAGCAACCTGGGCAAGGGTGGAATGAGATGAACTTTAAGTTCCCTCCCAACCCAAACCATTTTGTGATACAAGTGATTCCTAAGTTTCCTAAAACATTCAGCATGGATAGATGGGACACAGACTTAGGACAGGCCTGACTAGATGGATACTTTTCAGATATTTTGCTTGGAATATAACCCTCTTTACTAACACACATTTACTTGCTGTGAGATGGGAATGATAAAAAGGAAGTAAAACCTGAGAAGGGGCAGCAACAGGTTCCAAGTTGTTCCTTGTCCCTGGTAGAAGGTGACTTTGGAAACTACACTTGCATCTCACCCAGCTGCAGCTGATCTCAACTTTAATTAAAATGGACCATTTTAAAGGCTGGGTAAATTCTCTGGCATTTTTAGGTCTCTTTGCTTGGAACAAATTTATGGAAAAGGGCTTAAATATAGGAATTGCCACTGCCTTATCCTCAATTAGTGGTTCTTTAAGGCATGTGTCACACCTTCATGTTTAGAAACGTGGACCTTGGGTGGAAGACAAAGTCACAGAGCCATAGTCAGACTGCTGCAGGAACCTCTGGGTCTCTCCTGGACTTTGGAAGATGTGGCTATAGAATAATAATACTAATACTAATAACACTAATAGTAATCTGGATGCACACCTACTTGAGGGACAGATTTATGGATATTTTGGTAAGGACACATTAAAATTCCAGCCCGAGAGGGGATGGTGTATGGACAATTTTGCTCCTAAATCCTGTCACTTGGATTTCTTGTGCTTTTCCCTACGTGTTCATAATATACTTGTGACTTTTGACCTCGTCTCAAAGCTTTAAAATAACTCCAGGAATTATGTCCATGCCACCACCCTGAGCAGGCAGAGGACATTACTGCTGCTGCAATGCCTGAGTTGTCACCAGTGACCCCTCTGAGGTGGCAGCAGTCACTCTGCATCAGCTCATTCCCGTTATTCCCTGGACTATGGAAGTTGCTTCCGGGGATGTGTGTCTCTGTCTCTCCACATATTTCCCCCTCTCCTCAGCTCAGGGGTCACAGGCTGGCTGTGACGAATTGCCAGGCTCCTGTCACTGCCTGTCCCTGCTCAGTTCAGGTCACTCAGAGCTCCAACCCCATCTGCATAAAATGTGGGCCACGTTCCGGGATGGGTTTGGTCCACCCGTGTCCCTCCGGGGTCACCTTGTCTCAAAAATGACCTGACAGATTTATAGGACTGGTGGAGGGCAAGAAGAGAAGAGGGGCTGGCTGATCTGAAAACAGGGAAATGTGGAAATACAGTGTTGGATCAGAATGTAAAGGAGGGGTGGGTACAAACACCGAGAGTGTGGCCTGGGGGAATTCCTCTCTGTCAGTCTGTAACACAGCAATAGGGACACCCTGGAATTTAAAAATAAATCCTTCTGTTCAGTATAGTATTATTTTAGGAATGACTTAATAAACAAGTTGATAATAGTGGCTCTTTAAACAGGTTGACAACGTGAGGTCAGGCTCGCCCAGGGACAACAAAAATGAATTTGTCTGACTCTCCAGCTGGTTCTGCTCTGCCAAACTGTCCTTTCCTGGGGAGGTGGAGAAATAACTCAGCTCTTGTTTGTAACGGGATGTTGGTAGAAGTTGGGCTTGGGGTGATAAATTTTCCCAGTGGTAGATAATTCATTTGCTCCCATAATGTTCCTTGGTGCCATTTCAGCCAAGGCTGTTGAGGCTTTTGTTGCTTCTTCTTAAAATACGAAGAAACTCAGCACAAACACCAGTTGTTTGGTTTTTATTTAAATGTGTCCAGTGGCTCTTTGTTGAATCTTATTGAATCAAGGAAGGCCACAAGTTAGTTAAGAGGACTGGACCACTTTTCCTATGGATACAGGCCAGGAGAGCTGGGAATGTTCACCTGGAGAAGAGAAGGTTCCAGGGAGAGCTGAGAGCCCCTTGCAGGGTCTAAAGGGGCTTCAGGAGAGCTGGAGAGGGATTTGGGACAAGGGACAGAGGGACAGGACACAGGGAATGGCTTCCCACTGCCAGAGGGCAGGACTAGATGGGATATTGGGAAGGAATTCCTGGCTGTGAGGGTGAGGAGGCCCTGGCCCAGGTTGTCCAGAGAAGCTGTGGCTGCCCCTGGATCCCTGGAAGTGTCCAAGGCCAGGCTGGAGCAACCTGGGATAGTGGAAGCTATCAGAGTTGGAACTGGATGATCCTTAAGGTCCCTCCCAACCCAAATCATTCCCTGATTATATAATTCCATGGTTCTATAATCCCATGAAGACTGAAGCGTGGTGGTGAAGGAGCAGGAGCAGCTCTGGTTTTTCCCGAATTTCTCGTGTCCTGCTCCGGGAATCGCAGCCCCTGCTGGGCACACACAGCAAGCATGTGGTGACTCCAGAGCTGCTGCAGGGAAAAATGTGATGGAGCCTGTCTGTCAGAGCTGGGAGTGCCTAACATATGGATTTGGGAAGTGTTATCTCCACGTTTTGTTGGGGTTATGTGTCTCCTTGAGTTGCTCATTAAATGCCGGTGAACTTGATCACAATTTTCCTGTTCTCGAATAGTCAAAATGTGATGTCACTGCCTTATCACAAACTATTTAGGGCTCTGCTGAGGTTCATTAATTGCAGTAATTGGGCAGTAAGGAAGCCATAGGAGCAGGTAAAATGTAGGACATTGAGATGAGATTATCACTGTAGTAAATACAGTAGTAAAATCGTACTGACTGACACAGATGAGGAGACTTGATATTTTAGGTTTCAGTTATTTTGCAATGTTTAAAAGCTGCCATATTAATTTAATAGTTCAAAATCAATTTCTTGTGTTCTGTTTGTGTGGGTAAGTCTACTTTTATTGCCTCAAGACTGTTGTTTTCAGCTGAGGGAAGAGCAGGTTGTCTCCCTCCCTGTGTGCAGCCCTGTCTGGGGTCATATAATCTCTAATGTGGTGTTACTCTGGAGTTACTAATGGTTCTGTCTTCCTTGTAGCCCCAGGTAGGACACTTCAGTGCTGTTATAGAGGAGGGAGTGAGGAGAAAGATCCTCAGGAGTATTTATGTCCCAAACCTGAGCTGAAATTAGAACCCACAGAGGGGGCTTGAAGCCGGGTGACCTCTCAGCGTCTGTCACCAAACAGGACACGTGAAGGACACTCTTCTGTCTCCTTCCCACTGCTCTGTTGTGCTGGGTGACTCTTTGTGCCCGTGGAGCCTTGTGAAAGCTGAGCAGAGGTTGTTTTGATGGTTTCCAGGTTGCTGCTGGAGCTGCTGGAGCTCCTCTTCGACAAGTTTAACGCGGTGGCCGCCGCGCACTCGGTGGTCCTGGGGCACCTCCAGCAGACAGTGGCCTCTCCCTGCAGCCAGCACGATGGGGACATCAAGCTCTACGACATGGTTGACGTGTGGGTGAAGATCCAGGATGTCCTGCAGGTAAGAGTCCTCCAGGTGGGCGCCTTTTCAGCTTTTACAACAGCTTTTAGAACCAAAAATACCAGTGTGAGCACCTGTCGTGCTCGGGAGACAGCAGTGCTGGGGTTTGTCTCGGTTTTTGGGAAGTGGCCACGTTTATAACAGATTGTGAAACTCCAGAGAGAGCTTAAATATCAGCAAAAAAAAATTAAAAAATAATTCTGTGGGTTCATCCTTCTGGTGTCTGGAAAGGTTTGATTCCTTTTGCCTACCGAGTGATTTATCAGCAGCTTTCAAACAGTGACATTTTTGTTCTGTTGTTACCGTGTCATCGCTGTCTTATGAGGTGTCACAGCTCTAATGGCTTGTCTTCTCCTGTCACTGTGGCTGGGCTTCAGGCAGCTGAGACACTTGTTTTCAGGAAATTCTTATTTGATTCTTACTCTTGACTCTGAGAGACTAAAGCTGTGCCTTGCTCGGGCTTTATTCTGGGACTGTGCCTTTCACCTCAGTGTGTGAGGCTCTCTCAGAGCTCTCACCCCTCACATGCCTTCCTGCTGTTCTCTCCTTCTTGCTGTGAGGCTCACACATGAATATTATATTTCCTCCTTTATTTATTTGGGAATTGCCTTTATATACAGCGCACAGATGTAGAGCCTCACCTGGGATTTGAGAGAGGAGGTCAAAGAAATGAGCCTGGCAAGATTTATGGTGGTCATTCCACCGCTGGGCTGTTGATGGAAAGTGCTCTCTGCCTCCTCTCCTAACAGGAATTTTCATTGCAGGGCTGTTGTTTAGCTGTTGCTCTGCAGGTTTGTTTGATTGTGCAGCGATGGAGGGGTTTTTTTGCTTACCCAAATACCCAGCTCTGTGCATGGTGTGAATTTAATACCTCTTGAACCTGCTAAATGTAAGGTTTGGGCCTTTGATCACCTCCAGTGGCTCCTTACCCCAATTATTTGTCTTTCTAGAGGAATTGTTATTAAATGAACCTCCATCTGTTTTCTCTATGACACAATTTTCACCTCCTTTCAAACACCATTCTCACCAAAGTTCAATTGGGGATGTGCAGCCAGAGGTTCCTGAGGGGCTTCTAAACAAAAGGGTGTCACAGAACTGAAGTGTCTGGCCCTGTTGAAGGGCACAATTAACCTTAAAGACATGAGGAGTGGCTTTGGCACTGGAGACCTCCAACCCTCACCTGTGATCCAGGAGGTTTAAGAGCCCTGAGTTCTGCAGACTTTGCTCCAGAGAGGACAAAGCCTTGGGAGTAAAAACCCTCCCGAGATTTTTCCCTCCGGCGTAGCAGAACACCAAGGCTGGATATTCCCCCTTCTCTGGGGGAGTTTGGGGTGTGAATTTGGAGCAGTTTATCCTGGCTATCCCAAAACCAGGGATGATGGAACCTGAACACAGAAGCACGTGTAGGTGTGAGCATTTAGGGAGTGAAAAGCGCTTTCTGTGCTGGGGAGGCAACATTTGACCAAGCTTTCTGTGAAAGGCGTGCCAAGAAAAGTGCAACCACCCACTTGTAAAGGTTTCATTGATACTGGGTGTCAGAGGGAGGCAGAAAAGCTTCCAAAAGAGCTTTTACAATGCTTAAAAGCAGCACTTTAAGATCCATAATCTCTTGCTGGTTTAGGGTAAGAGATGAGCACTGACTGACGTGGAAAGGAGGAAACGTTGCATTTCTTTGTTCACAATCTTGTGGGTGTTTGTGCATTAGTTCCCTTAAAATATTTGTCCTTTACAGTGTAAGAAAACCTTTGATCCCAAAGCCTGAATTATTTCTATCCTGCTTTTCTGAATAAGGATAATTTTCGGAAAGAGGGGGAATCTTACCTTTGCAGCAGGGGGAGCAGAAAACTCAGTTTTAAAAGTGTTTATTTAAATCTTCCTGCTGAAAATCTGGGGGGAGAAGTGGCAAAGTGCATCAGGGAAAGGGATGCAGTTCCTTCAGATCCTGGTGAATGCAATTCAGTCACCACATCAGAACAATCTCCCATGGCTGCAGCTCACCTGGATAATGTCCTGTACGTGCACATTGTTCATCTCTGCGTGTGAAGTACATTAGAGCAAGGTTATCTCTCCAGCTCTGCCCTAAATAAGGTGAGCTCGTGGTGGGCTGCAAATTGTCTCCTGTGGGAAATGAGTTGTTTTCAGCTTGTTTTTGTAGCTGGATTTCTGAAAGCTCCCTAAAAAACTGCACCGAGCACCGTGTGTGGGGTCAGAGGTGGCTCGGTGTTGAGCAACGTTTAGGCACAGAACATGCAGATATTCAATATTTTTGACCTTCTCTGAGAATGGAAGAATAACACAGAAGACAGAGTGACCTTTTAGAGCCGGGTGCAGGAAACAAACAAACAAACAAACAAAACAAACAAACAAAAAAAGCAGTTTGTCAAAATATTAGGGCAGGAAAACACAATTTGGAGTTATTTCCTGGTGCCAGAGCCAGCGGAGCTCTTGGTGCTGCTGCTGCTGCACCAACAGGACAGGGGTGAAACGTGTTTAAATTTGAACTTGGTGCTTTGTGTGGGGAGGTAACGGAGCTCTGCAGTGTAGGAGTGGGAGGAACATCCTTCTGAGCTCCCTAATTACTGCAGGAGCCAGTGCTGGGCTGGGAGAGCTGAGCCCTGTTCCTGCAGCCATGGAATGATGGGAATAGTTGTGTTGGGATAATGCAGGGAGGGATTTCTGGGGTTTTCTGGTGCAGTTCAGTGTCTGTGATGTGTCCTACAGATCACAGACCTGCTGGAGTGAGGTCCTGGAGCTGCTCCAAGGGCTGGACCACTTTTTCTATGGAGCCAGGATGGGAGAGCTGGGAATGTTCACCTGGAGAAGAGAAGGCTCCAAGGAGACCTTCCAGTGCCTAAAGGGGCTCCAGCAGAGCTGGAGAGGGACTGGGGACAAGGGATAGAGAGACAGGACACAGGAAATGGCTTCCCAGTGCCAGAGGGCAGGGTAGATGGGATATTGGGAAGGAATTCCTGGCTGGGAGGATGATGAGGGCCTGGCCCAGGTTGTCCAGAGAAGCTGTGGCTGCCCCTGGATCCCTGGAAGTGTCCAAGGCCAGGCTGGATGGGGCTTGGAGCAACCTGGGCTAGTGGAAGGTGTCCCTGCCCATGGCAGGGGGTGTCACTGGATGATCCTTAAGGTCCCTCCAACCCAAACCATTCCATGATTCCATCATTTTCCCAACCCAAACGATGGGACAGGCTCAATGCTCTACGTGCTTGGGGAGAAACCAGAAGGTTTTGGGTCCAGCACAGTTTTTTGTCATTTTACTTTCTTGGTCAGGGCCAGATCTTCTGACGCTTCATCCATCGCTTCTCAGGGCCGTCTTTTGATACCTTGATGGGATTGCTGCCTCTGTCCCTGCTCAATAACACCAGAGATCATTCAGCTTCTTCAGGAATGTCACCCTTCTGGTGATAGGGTGATCACCCTGACAGTCTTTTATCTCAGTGCATTCCTCTGCTCCTGGAGGAACCACCCGAGACAGCTCCGTGTGGTCCCGTAACCAGCTCAGGCTGGAGCTCTTTGCCTCCAGAGGAAGAAATCTTCTCTCTTTCTGTGGTGCTGGAATCTGTAGTGGATGATTCTCAGTTTTATCTGTTTTCTTGCTCCTGCAGAAGAGAGGGAAAATCACATGTAGGCTCAGGACATTTATTTTAGCAGGCTCTGGTGATCTGTCTGCTGAGGAGACTCTCACAACTAATGGTTTCCTTTTTTGGGGGTGTTTCTGTCTAATGCCTTCGGGTGTTTTCCAAAAATGGTGTCATTTAGCAGCCTAAACATTGCTGAAACCATAAGGAAACTGGAGCAGGAGGAACTTGAAGCCTCCTCTGTGCCCACACACTCCTGTCGTGCTGCTGCAGAGCTGGAGGGATCAGACACTTGATTGAGAAGCCTCTCTTAGTTACCCTGTGATGCTCCACCACCCTTAAATCCTTCCCTATAAAGAGGAATGGCATTGGAGGGAGGGAGATGGGATCATTCTGGAGCTCACAGCCAGATCTGGTGATCAGCAGTGGGAGTGATCCTGCAGAAAAGCTGCTCTTAAATTGTCCTTGCTGCATCCCACTTGTCCAGGAGTCCTGTGGGAGCACCTGGAGATGGATTTCAGGGCTGTGCTGCTGCAACCTGAGTCACTCCGTGGCTTTTAAGTGAATTAATGGCCTAAACTGTTGGATCCCTTTGGCACACAGGGAAAAGGTGCTGATGTTCAGCAGGTTACTCAGTGGGAAAGATGTGCAGAGGTTTGAGCTCCGTGCCAACACATCCCAGCCAGCTGTGCTGTCATCCCATTCCTTCCTTTTCCACAGCCCAGGATGTTTTCCTTGCTCTGGCAGCGCTGCTCGTTCTCCTGACAGGAATCTAATTGGAGGGAGTTGATTTGGCCAAGACTTTGCTGCTGGCTGGGTTTGCTGCCTGCTCAGGTCCCTGAACTGTGGCATGGCTGGCACGGGAATGAGTGAGGGAATGCACCATGGAAAAGGGAAGGGTTTATCCTGGCAGCTGCAGCTCCCATCATCCCGCTCCACGGAGCTGCACCTCAAGGTGCTCATGGAAAACCCAAATACTTTTTGCCCTGGGTGGCTCAGCAGAGTCTGAACCTTTGCATTTAAAGGCTGTGCCTGTGACACAGTTAATACTTAGAAAGTCAAATCAGCTTCTTGCACGAGGGCTGTTAACGTGCCATAAGTCCTGCTGGAAATGTCAGAGCAATATCTGAAATTGCTGTTGCATTTGGGAAGTTCACAGGGTAATGTTTTGAACCTGAAGCAGTGTTATTTTTTCAGAAAGTCTCTTCTCGGGAATTTAATGGTTGTCCTCAAAACAAGGGGCCTGACAGTCCTCCTGGTTCTTTTTAAGTGGTCCTTAAGTGTGTGGAACTGATGCCCTTGGACTCCTGACTGGTGTGTCTCATTAATGCTCATCTCCATGAGCTGAGAGGATGTTGGTCCTAAAAGTGATTTGTCTGCAACTTTTAAAAGAACACAGTTTTACTCAATCTC